GAAAAAAAAATACGCCTAAAATATTCCAAAGTACTAAGATTAGGTGTTGAATAATCTCCAGCATACCAGTAGCATATTGGGCAACCCAGTGCACGCTCCAAGAGCGTCTTGTTAAATATGAGACTCGTAGCTAGATTATAAGACATTTAGGATCGAATTCCGTCGGAACATGGAAAATGTTCAAAAATCATCTGCATTCTTCCAACCTTTATACAAGTGRAGACGATTTAAATGAATGCTTACCATTCAAGGCTAGTAGCTAGTGATATTTTGAAGCTTACATTCTGTAAATTACAGTTCTCTACGTCCACGTATCAATTAAAAATTTTGCGACGTTTGGTTCTATAATTTACATTTTTGCACTTTTTATCCATTCTTTCCTACCTAAAGTGCTATACTTGTTTGATCTTGCCCCGGCCAAAAATTTCACAAATTGTCTTTCTTTAAGTTTACTCGTTGCATTCAAACACCTTCTGGAGGCTTGGAAGTAGAGGCTCTCGATGTAAAATCTTACTATTTATGTACAATGGTCCCAAGTTGGTCGTTTTGTTACGATTTTAGTGTATTTTAGATGCTGATGTAATCCATTTTACAAACACGTTATGCTTTCTGGCAAAAGCTAGCTTGATTCTTTATGTTTGGATTTCTGTTCATCAGTTTTTGAACCATTTGATACAGTTTTGTTTCAATGTGCGTTTTGCGTTCAACATCGTTGTTTCCAAATGTTAATTTTCTAATTAGCCACTTCACAAAYGAGMAAGAGACTGGGGCAAGTTTTGAATTTTAATCTTGTCGGGAAAAATGTTTTGTCATTTGAGAAAACATCTCAAGAGTAGTTAGTCTGACATATTTGAACTTGATTGGATGAAAAGAACCATTATCCTAGGCTTTCAAAAGTGGGACACTTGTCTCYCATTAYCATACATTCTTTRTAAAYKTTWTAACACTTTTGAAGGCAGTTAACTCTACTGGTTGTTTTTAACGAAACATGTTCGAATTTCACAGACTTACTAWTATTGACATTTATCAGATAACAAATCTCATTTGCTAATCAGATTAAAACTCGTCCCAGTCTTTAGCTCGTTTATAAAGTGGCTAATTTAAAATTTATTTAAGGTTTTTTGCCGAAAATATTTGTAAAAAAACTTTCCTTTGTAACTCGTACCTTTGGTCCATGATTGCTTCCTTTATTTATCGTAGTTTTGTTATGTGTGGCTCTTTAGAGCTAAAGAGTGGTCCCGCTTGCTTTGCGATGGATTTGACTAATGCTTCAATATCGCCCTTCTTTTTTGCTATTCGGAGGGAAAAGTTTACATTTTTTGCCACTGTCATCCCAAGCGTTAATAATGTCGTTTTGGGGAAAAAATCTGTAAATTGTTTTAAAAGTTAAAAAAGTTAATAAAGATAAACATACTTTTGTTAAATATGTTGTGCTTTGCCGTTTATTAGCAATTTTGAGCATCGCTAGTTTGAAAATGCCGGGCGAAATTCTAAGTAGACATTTAGTTTTGAAAGTTTTAATTATCAAATTAAAGTTTACTACAATTTTCTCGACGCCATCAGACATCATCCTCAAGAGTGAAAAGATCAATTGAATTGCAAAACTCTAAATGGCAGCAAACTTYGTACGACTGATCAGCTGTTGTTTTCATTAATTTACGACATGCGCAGACAAAATCTCTATTTTCTCCGCTCGGATCTCACCGCTGTGGTCCGGGTTCGGGCCCTGGCTCAGACGGGATCATATGTGAGTTGAGTTTGTTTGATGTTTTGTTTTATTCCTTGCCACGATGGTTTTCTTCCGGTTCTCCGGTTTTCCAAAGCGATGTTTTATGTGCATTTCCGAGTAGTTTTGCTTTGAAATCAAGCGGGATTCCTTTGTTGTGTACACGGACGTACGTACGTACGGAYATCGGTTTTCGCTGAGTTTTCGGATATGGGTTTTGGGTTGGTTGGTTATGAGTATTGAATATAGGGTGTTATGGGTTCATTGTAAGCGATAAGCCATGTGCCATCTCGTCTCTTTACCTATGGAAAGGAGCGGATCTTATCTCATAACTTAACTACTGCTACGTGTTAATGATTACGGATCTTCGACTAAAAAGTACCAAGGAAACCAACATTCGATTAGGGTCGATGATTTTATTGTAGAATTAATAGCGATCTTAAAATGCAACAATAATAAGARAGCTSCATGCATTTACAAAATAATTCTAATTAACTGCAATATCAAACAAAAGCGATTGAAAGCGGTAACTTTTAAGCTTAGAATAACGAAAGGCAAAAATAATAATAAGACAATATAGACCATCAATATAAAATGATATCTAATGTCCATTATAAGCAATCATGCAAGTAAAAGCTTGAATCAACTTAAACCAATGAACCCTTCTTAAAAAAATCGTGGATGCGAGGCTAACATCAAAATACAAAAGAAATCACGCTTTTTCTCGAGGGAATTTGTGGCATTCCTTTTGTAATTCCATATATATGTATAAATATATAGCCTCACATGCAAGACAATTTTAAGAATCGTGCATTTGCAATATGCGACCTGCACAATGGCGGATTTCATCACGTGACCTCTGAGTGCAAGTCGCCTATTAATAAACTGCTGGGTCAACGATGACGTTCACTAACGTTTGCAAAGTACCCAATACATTGTACAACCTTTACAGTGCGAATCGAAAAACCATGGGCAAGTAGAAATATTTCAAGAATTGTTTAATCAGCCAATCAGAAGCGTTATTGCTATCTTTCCGTTATCTTGTGGTTACATAGTAAATTCTGATTGGMCAAAGAAGAATAGAACATTCGTAGAACTTTTTTAGGTGCCCACGGTTTTTCGAATTGCACTAGTGTAAACTCAACTTTGCAAAGAAAGATATAGAGGATATTACATGGGCGCGCGGAGATACGAATTTTATCTTCGAGTGTTGAAAAGATCTCTCACGAGTGAGCGTAGCGAACGAATCTCCAAGCGGCCATGTAATATTCTGTTTATTATATAATTATCAATGAAGTATGTTTTGGCTTTTTCAGGCAATTCTTTCCGTGTATTTTTTAATAGCCATCGTAATGGTGTTATTTTCACACGTGAAAATAACATATTATTTTCACGTGTGAAGATATCAAGTTTTCGAAATAGAGAAAAATAGATATTTCATTGGTAATTATATAATAAAAAGATGTAGTCACATATCGGTCACGCTTGCCAAGGTTACAATTTCRATAATCACAATTTGATTCACTCTAAATCACTAAAACTAAAACTGAACTAAAAACGACGTTAATTGTGCTTATATTTGCGCGTGGTGACGCCAAAATATCCAATTTCGTGAATCAAACTTAAGTAAACTAAAGATTGTAGCCAGGAAAACTACGAATTATAAATATACTTACATAGGTACATTGTCCCTTAAAAGTATCTTTGAAACGCTAGCATGCATTTGACAGCGTCAGGAAAGGCATGTTTTACTAAAAGCAAATACCATACAGCTCAAAATCTTTACTTAGAGCAGCCCATGTACCGAAGCTTAAGATCGTATTCCTCGTTCCCCACCAACACCTAATATAGCTGTGAAACCATCTGAATATGAAACGGCATTTTCTCCATTGGTAGAACAGACCAGCATGCAATTCTAAGGCAGTCAGTTTTGCATTTGATGCCAAACACCACTTCTGATTGGCTGGCTTTACTGCACTGTACGACAGCTTGGTTGGAACGGTGACACGAACAAGTGTCCCGTCCGTAAAAACCCCGGCACGAACAAACAGTATTGATGCATAAGCTTCTACACTTGCTTTCACTTCTGCAAATGCTTCGACCTTTCAACAACAACAACAACAACAACAACAACAACAAAATTTTTACAAAGTTATGAACCGATAAAGATAGCGTCGCGGGAGACTAGTGACTACAAACATGGTAACGATGCGTCTTTTCTTAGTTTACTTTTTAGAGCTTGGAAATCCTTCACTCGCATTATTCGCCTTCCCAAACTACATTGCGAACTATAGAAGAGATAAAGTGAGTGACGAATAAGTACAAGTCTGAGTTTGGGATTTCTGTGTAATAAAGGAACGGAGTAATTGGCCCGGGCCGCAAAAGAAACGATTTCAGCAAGTTTTCTAAGAATTCAGAAGAGTTTAATTGAGAAAACGAATGTTTTTTTTCTCCGAGTATATATACAAAAGAAAAAAAAAAAAAATAATAATAAATAAAATTCGCGAGTATACTTTTTGAGGCCAAGATACTGTATTGAAAAAGACAATATGAAAGAATTAGCTTTAAGTTTTTCACGCATTGACTCCACTTTTTGGCATTTTGAAAAGTTCATTCTTATCAGACTTGTTTGAAAGCCAAATTTACATATTTTTACGATAGCATGTGTACTTTGCGACTAATTTGCATACGCACTTAGAGCATGCGCAGAGGTTTTTTCACTCGTGTCCCGTTTTCTCAAGGTTGCGTGCGCATTCAAATTTAAGGAACTTGACGGGCCAAGATACCGGAACAGGAGCTTTTTAATTAGAATATTTATCCTACATTTTTATGAATTTTTTGGATAAGAATTCTTAAAATCGATTATTCTCCTCTTTAAATATATAACTGACTTCTCAATTTTACTGAATTTGGGTTTTTCAATTTTGTGGCTCGTCAAGTTGGATGCGCACGCTACCTTGAGAAAATGGTCTATTGAATGTACGTCTAGCCTCGTTATCGCGTTTAGCTGTTCTTTAAGCAATATGAATAACTGTATATACCTGTAATGCAATCTTTGGAGGACTGAGTGACGTCTCTTGTGATAGAAGTTTCGGCGGCTTTATGTTAAAGTCAACATTCAAGCTAAACTCCACACACAACCTCACGATCAGGACCTTAAAGCAAAATGGCTGAAAACAGAAATGTAAATCATTTTACATTCATTAAAAGGTTCTAAAAATAAGTATCAACCCTCAAAAAAGTGCCGGATATAATTCCGGTACGACAAGAGCACGTACGCATGCACCTAAATTACATGTGTGCTAATCTCGTACTCAGAGCCTGCGTTTCTGCTGGCCTGCGGCGAAGAACGAGGGCTCTGGCATAATCCAATTTTTTGGCGCATGCGCAAATTTCCGGAAGTRAAATATATTAATGACAATCATGGTTTAAAATAGATTCTGTGTTTACTTCCGATCAAGTTAAAAATTAGAAATCGGGAACATATTTTTTTGCATTGTTGGCAAGTCTTTGAACGCATGCGCTCTTATACCGGAAGTCCAAGAAATCCAAAAAATGGATTATGCCAGAGCTCTCGTTCTTCGCCGCAGGCCAGAAGAAAAGTAGGCGTTGGATACGAGATTGCATTTGTGCATTCTCATCAATGCGGGCTATTTATAGAAACTTTAAAATGAATAAAATCTAGAGTGACTTAACACTTACAATCCCCTTACTCCAGGACATGCCGACCTCTCTTCCAATTCCATTTTCTATTTCTTCGTTGCTGTATTTCACTCGATAAATGTTTTTTCTGATACTTCCAAGTGTTACATAAAGATCAGTTCCCATTTCCCATTTCTTCGTCCCGTTTTTCCAGTCGAAAGCAGTGGTCTTTAACCATGTGCTTCCCTCTCCTTTGGTTCGGATTCCAAGTAACGTCTTGTCAAAAAGAGAGAACGTATTTTCCATTGCTAGGGACAAATCTAGAAGTCTTCGTAGGAACAGTTTAGGACCTAAGGACCCTACCGTTCCATTACCATCTCCTCCTAAGGACCCCACCGTTCCATTACCATTTCCTCCTATGGACCCTACCGTTTCATTACCATCTCCTCCTAAGGATCCCACCGTTCCATTACCGTCTCCTCCTATGGACCCTACTGTTCCATTACCACCTCCTCCTCCTATGGACCCTACCGTTCCATTACCATCTCCTCCAAAGGACCCCACCGTTCCATTACCATTTCCTCCTATGGACCCTACCGTTCCATTACCATCTCCTCCTAAGGATCCCACCGTTCCATTACCGTCTCCTCCTATGGACCCTACTGTTCCATTACCACCTCCTCCTCCTATGGACCCCACCGTTCCATTACCACCTCCTCCTCCACCACCAACATTTCCTCCGGGATATGGAGTTGCTGTTCGGTTTGAATCAGACCCCACCGCCCTGCGATTACGTCTGATAACTGTAGCGGGTTCTTGTGTTGATAACCGCTGACCATCTAATGTGTCATCTAAAGTGCTTTCTTCAGTTGGTACCACCAACATGACAAATGAATCTATCTTTAGAGCTTTGATTTCTTCTTCCACAAAGTAAGCACTGTCCATCTCAATACGAGTCACATGACTGTACAAGTTAACCATCATCGTGGTGACGTCATGCCCGTCCTTGGTTTTAATTGGTTCACCAAAATGAAGCTCTTCAGATACATAGACATTACTTTCTGAGACCATTCCGTTGGTCTTGTTAATTGTGGCTGAATCGTTGTATTTGACATCAATATCCATGTCTGAGGAAGCGTTGACCAAATCTGATTGGTTGAAGTGATTTTTGACCAACACGTCATCGATTTCTTTAGTGTTTGCTTGTCGGTGCATTCTGACGGGGCCTGGAAACAAGGGAGTGTTTTCTGGCTTTACATTTTGGTCTGTCTGTCCATCGACGTCTTCATACAAATCACGTCTGACGGCCGTGAGAAGCTGGTACAGGATTCCATGCAAATAGCGAACGAATTCTCCGTCAGTTTGAGGGTACCCATGAAGTTCAAAAAATTCAGTCGTGCCATCATTGCCTGTGTCCTCAGAATAGTCCTTGGTACTGAGAACAAACAAAACAAAAAAAGAAGAAGAGAGAAACAGAGGTTAAATTAATCCGTAATGATTTAGGGCCCGTTTAGAGGATATTCATTAAAAATAAAAAATAAAAAAAAGCAAAAAAACAAAACAAAACAAAACAAACAAACAAACAAACAAACAAAACAAAACAAAACAAAACAAAANCTGTTTAACCGCTACGAGGATTATACGAACCGATTTTATTATTTTTACTTAAAGTTACAATAATAACCCATGTAAACTAAGATCAACTGCGATCGGCTGTGAAAATTATCTGCTGAAAGTAAACTTGTAAGTTTGTTTGTCCGAATTTCGCCTTTGTCTTCGTTTTTACGCTTACCGTAGTTCAAGCGCCATTTTGTCATACTTCAACTGTAAATTTTAAATCCCCTTCGATGGGATTTTTTACTGGAATATCTCCGCTACGACATGCATGTTCATAGCTAGACAAGCATTTTTCTCTTATTTTCTGATACCATTTCGAAATTGAGATTTTCGTAAAAGAAAATATGAACAAAATCAAACAAACAATCAAAAGATAAAACGAAACGAAGCAAAAAAACAAAACAAAACAAAACAAAACAAAACAAAAAAAAAACCAAAAAAAAAAAAAAAAAAAACAGTTCTAGTTTTCTACCTTGGTAGTTGAACCCTGAAATAACCAGTAATGGCGGACTTCACTTCCTCATCATCGTCTTTGAATGTTGTGTTGATCTTAAGAAGAAACCAATAGGCGTATGATGTCTTGTTAACCACTTGAAAACCAACGGTAGACGATATGGTTTCTGAAAAAGAATACACAATATAACTGCCATGTAAATAAACCAATTTAAATCTATAGCATAAATAGTGAGTTATGGGAAAAATGCGAGTCCTAGTACAGTTAAGCCGATGTTCCATTCGCTTAAAAACCAAACCCTACAAGCTTAACTTATCCGAAATATCCGTGCCTCAAATCCTAGGAACCTCTCACACCCGTAAAACCTTTTACCGAGTCTTGCAGCCTTTAAATCAGGGGAAAATAACTAGGGGAGTGCAACTCGATCTATTTCACTGGTCCATCAGATTGCTAGCTAGGCTAAAAATAACTCGCGCGCTCATTGGCTGGTGGCTTTGACGTCGATCGTCTTTGTAAAAGATGCTGAACGCTTTTTTTTTTCGGCGGCTTGATGGACAATTAAAACAAAAAAGATCAAGCTTCTTTCGAAACTGAAATATATGGATTCAACAACAAGACTACATTCATTATACAAGGCCATGTTCAAATCGTAGTGATCTAGAGAACTGAAACCAAACCTTCAAATATGCATGAATACGTCCAAAGACTACTAACACTTTACAGCCAAGTCGAAAAAATGCTTTGTTTTGAAGTCTTCTTTTTAGAATACCGACACGAAAAAACTCCAAGATTAATAAGGTGTTTTAGAAAATTAATATTTATCAAATTTGAATAGCTTTTGGTCGCTGTCTGCTTTCAAACCTTCAGACTCCGATTCCACTATATGGTAGAAGTCTTGACTTTTTCGGAATCAAATATAGCAATCAAGCTGCATGCCGCACGGCAAACTCGTGGATACCCTTCTCTGAATCCTACTTACTGTCTTGAGAAATTGGGTTCTTTGTGCTTCTCTTATGTCCCGCTGACAAGAGCGTTGCGTTATGCGTATAAAATTACTTCTTACATCTGCTTGACGTCGTGAAAAGTCAAGTTCGTCTACCTTTTCACATGATGTAAAATATTCACACAGGCTGCATTTACACGGTACTGGACGAATTTTTGACCGTTCGAAAAGTTGTACTTTTAAGCTTTCCGTTCACACGGAACCGTGCTATCTGGACACACGTTTGAACGCCTAGCCGAACAAATTTGGGACCTGGAAAATCGAGGTCAAATGTTTGATTTGTATCGATAAGAAATCGAACGTTATCGTGTAAACACATTTTCCGGATAACTTTTCGTACGGAAAACCATTTTTTGTCGCAGCTGCTTTAGTGCGTGGTCGCTTAGCTATAGCTGTATGAAATGAATGTTGTCATCGTGAAAATTCGGGTTTTTTAAATTCTGTTTTCCTTATAATTATTGATTACAATGGAAAACAGAACAGAACAGTTGCAGTATTGCTTGCATTGCTTGCAAGTGTCACGGTCCTGTCGGATAATGTTATTCTGCAAATAGCTTATTATGCAGCTTTCCAAGCGATTATAAGAAGAAGCATTGGCTCGGTTCTAGATGCAAGTCAATTCTGTCGACTCGCAAGAATTGGCAGAATAGAAAGAAAGGCAGAGAAGTATTGGATAAGACCTGGAAGCACATCTCTTTGGTGGGATAACTTCATGATCAGATAGTAMARCCACTGGCATTATCATATTGATCCGGCCCCGTGTAAACAGAACGTACTTTTATACGAGACGGCTCCGTGTGAACGGCATGTACCGGTCAACTTTTTGAACGGTCACAAATTTGTCTGGTACCGTGTAAATGCAGCCTCAGAAACTATTTACTTACACCGTGTAATAAGCGGATATTTTATAAAAAGTCGTTTAGAAATGTTATTCAACTTGTCTTCATTCAAGTCTGTATGATGAGACTGGCATATTTTATTGTTCTTCGCTGATTTTTGTACGCAAATCGGAAGAATTATCTTGAATGCCGTAAAAGAATTAGTTTTGCTGCGTTCGTTCTCATGAAAGAAATTTAAACATACCTTTTTATACTTCTTGTGTTTATTAATAGTATTCTTCTCTTGTTTAGGAGCAGAAGCCTATTTTTATATCTCAGTACTTTATCTCTTTCACACTTGGTACGTAAATATTCTTTAGGATTGAAATTAAGTCTAAATCAAAAACAAAAATTTTATTTCGGCTCTCATAGCTCTCAATCTGATAGCGCCGAAACGAAAAGACAGCAGCGCACTTCTTGAAGTATTGCAGTCAAGTTTTGATATCAATTTTCTAGCTAAAGTTTCGTTATTGAGTTCATATATTTTCATTTTTTTCGTATTATACATACAGGGTAAAAATACTCGATGCTGATATGCTAATGGAGTAGGGTGGGACCAAATTCTGAATAAACTTCTTTCGAACCATAACTACATTAAATAAAGAAAGAAAGAAAGAAAGAAAGGAAGAAAGAAAGAAAGAAAGAAAGAAAGAAAGAAAGAAGGAAAACCATTTATTACTGACAGCATAAAGTATATTTTCCTAATGACCCCAAACTATAAACAAACCGATTCAACT